TGTCTAACGAGAATGCTAGATTTGTCATAACACAACTACAAATATGGCTATAAGCGATATTCTCCAAAAGGGGCTATTATTGTCACAAACGCGAAAGTTTTGGCTATACAAATGTATTCTGCTTAAAACTAAAATATGCCACTTCCTCTTATATTTTCGCTATACTTAGGGGATTTTTCCAGAAATAGCACCTTTTAAAAAAATTACAAAAATAGCACCCATTCCGTAGAAATTACAAAAATAGCACCCCTTTTTTTAAAAACTGCACCCCCTGATGCGTTTTGCATGTAAACCGCACCCCCTAGTGCGTTTTATATTTAAACAGCACCTTGGGGGTGCGGTTTAGCTTTCTGGGCAAAACCGCATCATGGCCATGCGGTTTGCGGTCTGACCTAACCAAAGGGCACGGCCAAGATGCGGTCTAGTCCTGACCTACCGCATCCCCAAAGTGCGGTTTTGGCAACACAAACCGCATTTTGGGGATGCGGTTTTGCTTCTCAAAAACATACCGCACCCTCAAAGTGCGGTTCCGGCAACACAAACCGCATGGGGTGCGGTTTGTGTGTCAATTATTTTCCGATACCAGACATGCAGTCATGCAGATTGACAGACGTGGGGTTGCATGGTAGATGAAAACCGCACCTCTAAGGTGCGGTTTTCATTGATGATTTTGCCTATAAAAGGCAGCCCGGGAAATCTCTTCTCTTCACACCTCTCCTTCTCCCTTTTCAATTTTCTGTTGTAGCTCCCTATTTCTCTAATGTTTTTGCGGTTAACGTTAACTCGTAAGTTTGGTTTTTATTACTTTTTATTGTGAATTGTGAATTGTGATTTTTATGATATTAGTTGAACTACTGTTTTTTTTTTTTTTTTGCAGATGGCATTCCAAAAGTTCACGCTTGGATTACGGTGGAATGGTTACACGGAAGAGAGCGGAAAGGGGGTCACCTACGTCGGTGGCAATTTTCAGAAAATAAAGGTCGCTACTAGACCGATGCTTGAAGACCTCTATCAAAATGTGTACTAACGTTACTTGCATGGATGGCGCGAGAATAGTTGATCGTATGGTGTACCGATATCCAAACAGAGAAGGCGGGTCGTTGTGGCACGAGGAATATCTCATAACTACTCAGGATGAGGTAGATGCCATACTCGAATTCTTGAGGTCCAACAATCTTTCCAGAGCCGAGATGTTCGTTTACACCGAGCCGGTCGTAGGCGTTGGAGGTCATTCTGGAGACGGTCAAACATCTAGTTTCCATGGTGGAGGTGAATTATATGGAGATCATCCCTACCAAAGTTACCATGATCCTCATTCCTATTTTCAGTACCAAGAGCAAGGTGAAGGTCATCATCAATCTTACCCGTCATATGAAGAAGTAGTTCAACCGGACCATGCCAACCAATCCCAGCACAACTTCTAGTCAGGCAGTGGTAGTTTCACAACTATCATTATGGAGCTGATGAATGTGCCTTTCATGAGCTGGATCAGATGGAAGATGCCCTGCCAGCACCAGTCAGTGACCCCTCCGATGAAGAAGGAGAGAACAATGTCAGTGCAGACAACTCCGATCCTCTTGAAGGTGCTGATGATTCAGGACCAGAGACAGACTCAGATAATAATGATGAGGTGGCTCATGACGGCGTACCAGTCGCCTACTACAATCACATTCCAGACGAAAATTGGATGGTCGACAGCGACATGGAACCCCCGAAGGTTCCAATATGGGGTCCACTCACTGGGTTTATGAAGGGCCAACAATTTGGCTAGAAGAAGGAGGTGCGGCACGCCATTGATACTGAAGCAATGAATTGGCATTTTGAATGGCACACAACTCATTCCAACACGAAAAGGCTCATAGTCAGATGCCCTAATCATAACGAGGGATGCAATGTTAGGATTCGGGCCATCAACAGCAAGAGACACGACCATTGGGTCATATCCCGTGCGGTGAACACACACACATGTGTGTCATCCATAACATCCCAAGGCCATCACAGTTGAAATCCAGGGTGGTTGATGCGGCTATCAAGCATCTAATTGAGCAAGATCCTGACCTAAAGGTGAAAGTCATAATCGCTGACATTGCAAGTCGTTATGGTTATATGATTAACTATAAGAAGGCGTGGCATGGAAAGCAGAAAGCTCTGGCCGCCGTATTTGGTGATTGGGAAGAATCATATGCATTCCTTCCAAGTTAATTTTGGCACTGGAGGCGTCTAACCCTGTCACTATTTTCTCCTCTCGATACCAAGATGAAGAGGTATAACCACCAGAGCCAGGTAACAAACGCCATTTCAGACAACTTTTTTGGGCATTCAAGCCATCTATTGATGGTTTTGGCTTCTGTATCCCTGTGATCCAAGTGGATGGTACATTCCTTACCGACAAGTACAAGGGCACTCTACTGATTGCCAGTGGGGTGGATGCAAACAAACAAGTCTTTCGGTTAGCCATCGCCATTGTTGAGGGAGAGAATACTGATAGCTATGGATGGTTTTTCCGACAAATTTAGCTCCACGTCACTAGGAGGACGAACCTGACAATAATCTCTGATCGGCACGCCGTGATTAGAGCTGCCATCTTAGGTTTGGATCCAGCCTAGAAGTGGTCCCAAAGGTGGTGCATACGACACTTCAAGAGCAACTGGAACCATCATTTCAAGCGGAAGAAGCTTGCTGATAATTTGTGGTGGATTGGTAAGCTCTCTATTGGTTGTTTAATTTTGTCTGATAACAATATCTTATATCAAATAAATGGTACACTTGTTAGACTCTTTATAAAGAGATGCATGCCTAAGGAAATGGGGTTTTAAGCGATTATCATGGTCCTCCCATTTCCTGGGAAAATCGGGTTTTAAGCAATCCTCGGATCCCCAAAATTCCAGGAGAAGTTGCAGAAGATGCACGAGTTATGCCCTGAAGGGGCACAGTGGCTGGATGGACACGACCTATCCATGTGGACATTTCATAAATACGGAGGTACAAGATGGGGTATGGCCACAACGAACTCATCAGAGAGTATCAATTCTGCTTACAAGGGTGTTTGGGCGCTGCCAATCTCTGCCATTGTGGAGATGACTTTCTGGAAACCGAATGGATGGTTCGTCAATCGATTACACTGGGCAAGGACGAACGAGGCACAGGGAAATGTCCATGCCAATAAAGTCACAGAAATACTGGAGCATGACAATCGGATTTAGTGATGGAAAGGTCCATGCCAATTGTATATATTCACGTCGTCCCCAACCTACGAGAGAATAACAACAAGGTTAGTACATAGATTAATTAAAAAGCTTATAACAAAAATAAAAATTGACAAAAATAATGAGTACGTACTGCTTGAAATTCATCATAATAAACTCCCTCTCCTTGGAACCACTCATCCATTTTTTCGCTAAAGTCGGACAGAAATTCGGCAGGTTTTGAGGGAAAAACCAAGAAATGTTTTCTGCTGGCAGATCGGACTTAGCCGCAACCAACAGACCACTATTTCCTAGGCTTTTGGGAGGGGAGGGGTTAGAGAGATAATTCTAGAGAGAGAGAGTGAAGAATGGTTGTGGTGTGAAGAAATGAGAGGGGGGAGGGGTTATTTATACCCATCAGGCCGCACCCTTCAGGGGTGGTCTGGTAATTTCTCCTACCTTGAAACCGCTCCCTTCCGATGCGGTCTGCAGTTCCCGAGGCACTGACCGCTCCATGCAGCTGTGGTCTGCGATCCATGGCGCGGATCGCTGAGGTGGCGTGCGTTCTGCCGCTGGATCGCCACCTGATCCTACGGTCTCCAAGCCCGCTCCCGAGGAAACACAGACCTCACCTTGGAGGTGCGGTTCCCAGTCCGACGTGGCGCAAAATGCACCTCCAAGGTGCGGTTTGATAAGAATGGTGCTATTTTTGTAAATTTTGTGGGCTGGATGCTATTTTATAATTTTTTTTAATAAGTGCTATTATTGGAAAAATCCCCTATACTTGTGCATCAAACCCGTATCAATAGAGGAATAATATACCACTTTCTCCGGTTAACTACAGATTTACACCCCGTGCTAGAGCTAAGGGATATATAAAGAGTGACGAATGATTCAACTTGTATTTGAGGGTAATTTTTGTTTTCAATAAAATTTAAAGGGGCAAAGTGGGAAGAAAAAAGAAGAAAATGAGGGATTTCAAAATAGCCGAGGGGAGGCAGCTATTTCAAAATCCTACATCTATAGGTTTTTAAAATCCGACATTTGTGAAATAGCTTATTTTTGAAGCTTTTGTCAAACAAGGAATTTGAGTGAAATTCAGCAAAACGAGGAAATTGAACAAAATCATGCATCCAAATCCCTCATCCAAACAACCCCCAAGGAGTTTATATGCAACTTTCAAACTTCTTCAGAGGACGAGAACCTCCATAGATACAAGGGAGCTTTGCTTTTAATCTTTGACGCAAAAACGACTTTTGCTATTAGATCGCAGTTCTCATAAATTCGCCCGGTCTATATAGTGGCACACCCTCTACTAATAACTAAGGGGGCAAAGTATAAAGGGAAAATAAAAAAATGGCAAGGTACACTTTCATAGCCATAATGATTCGCGTTGTGACAATAATAGTCACATTTTAAAAAATACACAGATATAACCACTTTTTTTAAACTTGCTTGAACTCCGTTAGTAATCTCTACGTGTCGCTGAGGTGGATGCCACCTGGACGACACATGATCACCAACTAGACGTCTTCATGCCACTTAGATGCCACGTCATATTAAAAGTAATTCTTAACAAAATTAATAAAAAAATCAAAATAATTTTTTTTTAGAAAAATTAAAATTAATTTAGTTTTATTCTCTCTTTCGCAACTTTTTTTCCTTCCAAATTTGCCTTTGTCCGCCAACATTTGATAGGAGCTTAAGTGGAAACGTCTTTCGCCTTCTCATCCAAATCCATGAATCCTCCCTTCAAACCCTCTCTTACTCGGGCTAAAGCCCCGCGGGGGCCGTCCCGTTCCACTCCCACACCAACGCTACCTGGCCATATACCAATCCGGCGAACTCCCTGCGCAGGTCATCGGCCGACAAGTCGGTGGAGTGAAGTTGGCCAGGTAGTCGACGTCTAGGTAGATTTGGGTGGCCAGATAGTCGTGGTAGGTGTTCCCTGGACGTCGGAGACGACGAATAGGCTGATCTTTGGCAGCGATTGGCGGTCGGAGGAGGTGTTCTGTTTGAAGGTCTGCTAGGAGAAGTCAGATGCAGCGGACAAGGTGTGTGTGGTGAAATTGAGGCCGATTTGGGTGTCGAAGAGGATCCCCCTTTGGTTATGGGAGATGGGATGGTGCAATGTAGGGGATCGATTTGCAGCTGGTAGGCATCGACAGATCGATTTGGAGCTCCGGCTGTTGAGAGAGAGAGAGGAAATGAAGGGAGAATCCGGAATGCATCGACTCCTCATTAGACCCCTAACTTGAAGAATCCTAGGAGGAGACTAATGACCGCCTTCTCAAGGACATGGCCTCTGCAATCTCCTATGGGCAATAAACTCATCTCCATCCACGAAAAGCCTTCTCTTTTCCTTTCTCCAGTTTGCTAAACTTTTGATTAAGGGTTTTGTTTCAATTGATTTAAGAGAACAATTACTCTGAAAAATTAGGGATTTTTTATATCGAGTTAGAAATTGATGCGCAACGGTGTGATTCCAAAGGGGAAATGTCTATCGTAGGAAGCTTGGTGACGACGGTGGAAGGAGGCGTTGATTCATCGATTTTGCTGCTCTTACTATTTGTCTTCTTGTTGCATGTAGCCTCCGGAGGGAGCTTGGTGACGACGACAGTGAGTGGAGGCAGCTAGTTGCTTCCATTTTCTCTCCTTCTATTTCTGTTGTTTTTCCATCTAATTATAATAAGAAAATAGACATGTCCACTTTGTATTGTTTTTTATAAAAAAAAAGCCACGTCATTGAAAAAAAGTTAGTCTAGTAAGCCACTTGAACATTTGCGTTAAAGTTATGGACGGAGTGACTATTTTAGTGTATTTTTCAAAAATTGACTATTACTGTCACAACGCGAATAATTACGACTGTGAAAGTGTATTTTGCCTAAAAAAATTGGTTATTAGTTAATAAATACCATCCGAAGTAGGATGATCGCTGCTGTAGAAGATCTATGCTCTCTCATAAGACCTAGGATTCGGGCGGATTAACGTTAATCTCCCAATTCCTTTGCCACCCAGGTTGATGAAATTGAGTCCCGAGGGAACTTCACATCGTGGTAATCATTTGATTTTTGAATCCTATATTTGGGCACTAGGGTTCCAAATCCTCGATCCTCATCTGTTCAAAAATTTCGCGCGAAAACATGGATCCCGAAGGTATCGTTAATTCTGCTGATCGATTTTCCTAGCCTCTGTTTTGATGTGCGTATACCTGCCTGTTCGATCTTCACATCCAGAAAACCAACCAACCTGCAAATGTTCTTCGCGTAGGGCAGCGAGGAAGCTCCGCGAATCCATCTGCGATGCTCAGTTCCCTTGTCAGCAAGAGAGCCAAGCTTCACGAGGAGCTACGCAGCATCGAAAGACAGGTTCTTTATTTCTGCCTTTTTCTACTTTCTTCATTCTGCTGGGAGTATTTTAGCCGACTAAGCTCACATCACCCGCACAAGTTGTCTCATCAAACCAAACCAAAAAAAAAAAAAAAAAAAACTTCGAAGGGTAATCAGGATTAGCTTTCACACGCATGGATTCTATCTCAAGTTTTGATGAGGAGTGTGGAGTTCAATAGAAGCATCCATTGTTGCTTTAGTTAAAAATTATAGAGAACACTAATGTATCTCCACGGGTTATTTGTATTCATTGTTCTTTCCTTTTGACCGCAAGGGACTGATAAATCGGTTATTTGGGTTTACAGCTTTATGACATGGAGACCAGCTACTTACAGGATCCGAGCCAGTGTGGCAATGTATTGAAAGGTTTCGAGGGATTCCTATCTTCATCTAAGAACACTGCACTGTATGGAGCGACTGTTTACATAACTGCTATCTGTGCCTATAACTGTCTTTTTCTTTCTCAATTTTACACTTCCCCCTCTTCAATGTTGATGTGGATGGAATCTTATGGCTTAATTGCTATGGTCGAGCCTTTACAGGCTGCCTGTAGTGACCTGAAGCTGAACTGATTTAGTGATGGTCCAATTGAATGACCAAACTGAATGATGTCAGATTAAATCATAGTATTAAGATCAAAATACAGTGGGATGATTGAAATGAAATGTTGATATGCAGAAGTGGGGGTTTCGTTTTTGCTTCAGAATAAGTTATCTCTTACAGGTTGCTCTTGGTCGAGATCTTTGTTTTAAGTCCACCATGAAGCATACATTTTTAGTTGATCGTCACTATTATGGTTGATGATGAGGCTAATGTGTAACATATGTCCAGGCTAGAGAACATGATCACCAGATTGGTTATTCCTGTTTAGTGTCGATGAAGAAGTACCATGCTAGTTGCAGGATAATATTTGACTGTATGATTATGCTCAAGTAATTGAGCTGTTATGATCAATCTTACTTTCCTTGATAATTGCAGCTTGAAGCGGTCTAAGAAGTTTCAGCCTGAAGATCGACTATTCTCATTATCCTCAGTTACCTCACCTGCAGTATGTACCGTTCAACTCAAATGTGAACAATGAAACTATTCAATTTCCCGAAACCAGTAACATTTTTATGTATCTTCACTGACCTTCAACTGAGACGTGAAGTTGGGATGGCAAGTGAAATAAAGATGAAAAGCTTTTTAAAACATATATATGCTTTCTTCCCGCTATCATCTAGAATCCGACAATTTATATGCTTTTTCTATTTCCTTGTTACTTCGACTGTCCACTGGCCAGGCTGAGGAGCAAGCGGTTGGACGAGATGGTGAGTCCACACTCTAACTGGAGATATCTACTACTCTACGTGCGTTCTTTCTTTGTTTATTTCTGACCTTCAATGGTGTATATCATAGATGGCAAATCAGACTTTGGTCCTGGTCGGTCTAGGGGTGGAGGCATATATGCAAATGGGCAGTAAGTATTGCATCATCCCTTTTTGAAGTTGCTGGTATTTCAAGCAGCGTCTGAAAGAAGTGCCTGAACAATACTTGGTCATTCTATATATATAATCTTTGTCCATCTGTGATCTTCAGAGGAAAACCAAAGAGGGGAAGAGGCACACCAAGAGATGCCAAGAGAATCAGAGCTGCAGCGGACCCTGACTTTGACTATGATGATGATCCTGATTTGATGTGAAGAAATCAGCTTTTGTCATCTGCACCAGCAAAAGCATGAACTCCGTCTTTGCAAGACCGTGAAAGAGGAGTCCTTAGGAGTGTTCCCTGACGCAGAAGCAAAAGAACAATCTTTCGTTCTGTAAGCAATTTGTGCTTCTCTTGCCGATTGATGAAGCTTTGTTTTATCTGTGGGATGGAATTGGATCGTACTTGTATTTTACTCCTTACCAAGCCTCTTTTTGATGTCTGTGCCCAACCTTGATGTATGTCCAAGCTTTATATGTCTTTTCAATATCATGAGTCACGATCTCATCTTTAGACCCTTCAGAATGCCTTATAAAAAGGCTTGAACATAGACATCCAATAAAGGCTAAGTTCAAATGAAGTTATGCCATGGCAAGGAATCAAATCGAGTAGCAGAACTATCGATGATAAGATGAGATCTTGTGACACAATATGAGCAGTCTTATTACATAGTTACATAATTATCTTGATCTTAGAAATGTATGTAATGATAATCTAATAGGATGGCCAAATTAATAATAGAAGTGCGAGCTTGTATTAACAATTTAATTACACGGCAAACTTGTAACGGGTAACATTGAGCTCTACTGCGTCATGATGATTTTTAGGTCTTAACTTTAATCATTAACCTTTAAATTAGTGACATGTTAAGAAAAAATAATAAAAACTAAAATTAATTCTTTTCAGTTTTTCACTTACACAAACACATTTTTAATGGAAACATAGACCTAGGTACATTATTCCCACAAAACAACTGGTCATTTAGCCTAAAATGGCTAGCATGTTTTTTTTTTAAATTGATACTCCATTAACTTGACAATCAAACTAGAATTGTCAAAAAAAAAAAAAAACTAGAATTGTTAACTGTCATGCAAAATTTTTAAACGTATATGGATGGAGAATGACTTGTAGTGAATGCAAATTTAAAGTTAGTAAATGTTTTCAGATCATATGTAGAACTGAAAAAATTAGTTGTCTATGGTTCATCGTTAGCTGTTGGTGCGCTATAACTTAAAAAAACATATGTAATACATTAATTTATCACTGAATTTATCATTAACCATAAACGATTTTAAATTTATCAATCCCAAAAGTTCTAGCAACTTAGTGATTTAGGTAACACTGTAATGGGCCACATAAAGTCGCCAAGGAGGCTGGGAAACTAAGAAGACACAAAAATAAAATTGATAATTCAGCATAGATAGTCTTAGTTTAACAATATATTCTTTTAATTTTTTGTAGTTAAAAAAGTGAACCATTGGACCAATCAAATTGAGGGTGGTTCATCTTATTTCTCCAACTATAAAAATCATTTGGTCCATCATGAGCCGTCCAAACAAATGGACAAAACTACGATCGTAACTGATTTAGTAGCTCTACTGATCCAATTACCAGTCCGATTTGGTTCTTATTATAAGGTAATCAGTAATCACTCATGTTATTGAAAAATTAGTAAAAATTATGAAACAAATTAATAAATCAAGTAATGAAACGTGTAAGTGAATTAAAATTGAAGTATTGATTTTAGTACAATTTTTAGCCATTTCAGAAAGAAATCCAGTTCGGCAAAAGCTTCGTCCAAGTCGCAGGAGGTGGAGGTGGAGGCGGACGATATAGGCAGGCATGGTCATATAAGCTCGGCTAGGTCTCGTCTGATTGCAAATCGCGCCGTCGTCAGGTTCGAGAGATAGGGCGTTTGTCTCTGGTCTCATCTTTCCAACTTCCGCTTTTACGATCATCTAGTCACCCAACTCGATGACCGTGAACTTAAACTTGAACTTGCTGGTAATGGCGGGCTTCTTCGCTTCCTCAAGTTATGCCAGCCTTCTAATCTGCTATCTTATCTCGTTCCCCGTCCTTCTGTGTGGGCGTCGTGTCTCACGTTGAACAAAAATTTCAACAGGACAAAATTGCGTTGCAAAAGAAAGAGCCAGATAAAGTACCAGAAATGGCAGTTTGCTGGATTGAAGCCTCTGATTCTGTCTCCCGTCGTTTCCAGTTCGAACCCGACGGTTACCTCTCTGTGAGTGTTGCTTTTTCCCATCTTATGATGTTCGTTTTTAATTGCGACACCAACTTTCTCTGGCGCATTTTCGCAAACACTTGGCATGCACAGTTGTAATACCTTCCGTGAATAACTGCAATGTAGCTTTTGTTTCCTTCTATTGAATTCTGTGAAGGAAAAACTCATTATGGGGAGCACTTACATTGTCTTGCTAAGCACCAATGAACTATGGGCCTGATGAATGTGCAAATATGCTTAGAATTAGGGGTTGTATGCAGGCCATCTCCGATGTAGTTTGGTGATAAGCAAGTTTGATGCCTCCTTTGATGGACTTTGTATGTTTCGATCCTGGCATCAAATAATGGCTTCAAAGATGATTGTGCAAATATACTTAGAATTAGGGGTCGTGTCCAGGCAATCTCCGTTGTAGTATGGTGATAAGCATGTTTGATGCCTCCTTCGATGGACTTTGTATGTTTCATTCCTGGCTTCAAGTAACGAGCCATGGAACTAGGCGTAAATACCTGTTTGGACTTGTTGATGTGAAATCTGCTCAAATCTCGCAACAACTCTTTGTCTCTTGCCTTCAGGGATTAACCTATAAAATCTTATGAAGTGGATATTCTAAATGTTGATGTTCGTATACTAGGAGGTTTTCAACTTTCATGCATAGCTATCAACTGTTATTCGGTGAACTTCACAATAGTCTGGCTGTTAGACTCACTTATTGGTTGGGTTCTCATGTTTTCTTTCTGTTGTGCAATATTGTTGACTGGGACAATAGGTGAAGGTGGTGGATGATGCAAGGCCTGTATTCAAAAGGGTGGTTGAGTCGTTCGTGAACAAATTTTTTCCTTCAGGATATCCATACAGGTGAATATTGATTTTCATGGAACAGGCTTTGCTTTGAAAAACAGAGAACTGGTACATTTTTTCATGTGGTTTCTACTCTCTGAATGTTTCAGTGTAAATGAGGGTTATCTCAGATATACACAATTCCGGGCTCTCCAGCATGTTTCCAGTGCAGCATTATCTGTTCTATCAACTCAGGTCTAATTTTGTTACGTCCAAAGTGCCTTCACATAATTCCCGCTGCCAAAGTTTTTTTTCTTTCTTTTCCAGTGTTGCACTAAAACTGACATTATTGTTTGCCTTGCCATATACTATTCAATGTTCGATTATCAGAATCTCTTGCTATTCTTTTATCTTATGCTGTATACCTATGTTATACTAGTTGAAATTCAGCTACTTCAGATACTAACTGTACTCTTCTTCCACTCAAAATGACTTGGTCTAGTTTTGGGTGTATTTACTCCACATTCTTACTCCTTTGCAGTCCCTACTGTTTGCTGCAGGGTTGCGACCTACACCAGCTCAGGCAACTGCCGTGAGTTGGGTAAGTTCCCTTTAATCAAGTAATCGCAAGTTGTTAGTCCCCAATAGAGTTTGTTAATCATGGCGTACTCTTCATTTCATTCATGTAGATATTAAAGGATGGGATGCAGCATGTAGGAAAGCTGATATGTAGCAATTTGGGTGCTAGAATGGACTCTGAGCCAAAACGTTGGAGAATACTGGGTACTCGTTTTCTGTTCTCGTCGACCTTGAATTTTCTTTTTGCTGCAAACACCCTTTCCCCTTCTTCATTTATTCATATTTTCCTTGCAGCGGATCTGCTATATGATTTGGGCAGCGGATTGGAAGTTCTTTCTCCGTTGTGCCCCAGTCTCTTTCTTGAGGTCGCTGGTCTTGGCAATTTTGCTAAGGTAAATACTGGTTGTTGACTTCATATTTGGACAAAGATATCATGTCCTTGTTTTGGGTTGTATTTAGTTCATTGCTATCAAGAACGCTCACCTGCTTCACCCATATTTCTGCAATCCTTTTCTTTTTCACACGTGTTGATTATAGCTTGACTTTTCCTTGGATTTGAAAGGGAATGGCGGTAGTTGCAGCAAGGGCAACAAGATTACCAATATATTCATCATTTGCTAAAGAAGGTAATCTGAGTGACCTATTTGCTAAGGGAGAGGCCATCTCAACACTTTTCAATGTTTTGGGATTGGGAGTAGGGATCCAATTAGCATCTACAGTTTGTTCCACAATGCAGGGGAAGGTATTAATTATAGAAGTTTTTGACATTTGAGTCCCAATTTATGTTTTCTAGTATTTCTGAGCTTACAACTATGCCCATATTCTTGCAGTTGGTGGTTGGTCCCCTTCTGTCTGTCGTTCATGTATATAGCGTAGTTGAAGAAATGAAGGCTGCCCCAGTAAATACGTTGAATCCTCAGAGGACTGCACTGGTTGTGGCTAAATTTATCAAGGTTAGTTTGAGCATGAAATTCTAGCGGGAACTTTGCAGCTTTCCCACGATTTTGTCACTTACTCTCAACTCTTTTGACACCTATTCGAGCCCAGGAAGGGAAAGTATCGAGCCCTGCTGATATAAGATACCATGAAGACCTTATGTTCCCTGGGAGACTCATAAAAGATGCGGGAAGTGTAAAAGTGGGACAGGCTCTGCACAGAGTTATCAAGCCTTCTAAGCTTAGTGAGTACAAAGTGATGTTCCCGAGTGAGAAATTTGTGATCAGCCGGGGAAATAACTGCACCAACATGGTACTGGAGCACGATGCAACAGGCGAAGATGCACTGAGGGGTTGGATGGTTGCTGCATATGCTGCTGCTGCTGCTCCCAGCTTGGAGAGCTCACGTGATGGATTCAGTTCGTCTGCATTGCTAGATGCCTATGAGAAGGTGGATAGTGTATTCGAGACGTTCATGTCTGAATTGCAGGCGAAAGGCTGGCATACTGATCGTTTTCTGGACGGCACTGGAACCCGTTTTGCACTTTAGAAGGTTCTTTCCCGCTAGTCTCTCAGTAGCAGCGCTGCGCACCCCTCCATTATGGAGAAGGAAAAACTGGAAAGATTATTTTCTTAATCTAATAACTAGAGCATAGGTTTGACTTGTGGTAATTAAATTGTAAGTTGTGAGTGAGTGGGATTACAATTTCAATCTACTTTGTTTGAATTGATCTGTAGTGACTCTTGGTCCATTCCGTATGAGTTGCTCCATGGGTACTGTCACATAGGGCTGTCAGTCGGTCGGTTTCGGTTTAACCGAAAACCGAAAAGTTAGTTTCCGGTTAAACCAAGCGACCCACAAGCACTACCGACCACCGACCGACGAGTTTCACACGATCACCGCCTAACTGGTCGGTTATCGGTTATAATCGCGGTTAGCCGAATTAAATACAAAAAATAAAAAAATAAAAATAGAAGAAAAGTCGGTCCACCTCCACCACACCTTTTCAGACCCACATTATCTTCTTCTTCTCTCCTCACCCAAGACCCTATGCTAACCGAAGTATTTTCTTCTCCCCTCTCTCTCCTTTGCCTCTGCTAACTGCCTAAGCCTAACTCTCCATCTCCAACCAAGACCCTTCTTCTCTCCTCTCTCACTTTTCTTTTCCTTCTGCTCGGGGGCCCTCCATCTCCAAGACCCTTCTTCTCTCCTCTCTCATTTTTCTTTTCCTTCTGCTCGGGGACGGCGACGACGGATGGACGGGAAAGAGGAAGGATGGAGGCAGCTGCGCGAGGCGACGCGATGAGGACGAGATCTGGGCGAGGCGGCTGCGCGAGGCGACGCGGCGAGGAAGGGATCTGGACGGGTGCGACGCGACGAGGAAGGATCTGCATGGCGGCGAGGAACGGAGGAAGGCGGCGGCCGTGAGGCAACAAGGAAGGGAGCTGGGCGGCGGCCGTGAGTCGTCAAGGTGAGGGTTTGATGAGGGGATTTAGGGTTTCAGTTTGGGGTTATGGGTGTTTTATGTCATTTTTTTGCAGGGAGGGGCGGAGGGCAATATATGAGGGTTTGTCGGTTTGGTTCGGTTTTTTCGGATAACCGCGGTTAATAATGGTCGGTTACTCGGTTATCCGAAGCTTTTTTATTCTCCTCCGTCCACCGACCGAAGTAATTTTAGTCTCGGTTTTCGGTTAGCCAAAAACCGGTCAGTTCGGTTGTAACCGACGGTTATCCGCTAACCGGAAACCAAACTGCCAGCCCTACTATCACACCCAAAGTGCAAATACTAGCGGGGCTCAATCTTCAGGCATCTTGAAGATGGTAGATACTAGCCCTAGGATTAGATTAATCTTAGCCATATATTTTGGAGGCGAGACCTATGTAAGGAGCACATCCCTCATATGTAGACATCCATAAATATTGAGAGCACATCCCCCCATTTGTAGACATCTATAAATATTGAGAGCAACACATCTCTAGAGAGAGAGAGTTCCTTCAATTTTGTGAGCGTGTGCGAGTGTGAAGCCGCATGAAGCGAGTTTAGTCCGTGACATTTGGTATAAGAGTCTGGTTCATGCTTGCAATTTGCAAGGAAGGTAGAGCTTCAACGATGAGATGGCTTCTGGATCTGTTCATGGTGACGAACGTATGTGGAATCGATTGAAGCATCCCATCTTGACAAGGCCGAGACCCGAGGGGGACATGTCTCAAGGATATCATGATCTCGCCACAAGGTTGGTCGGGTCAATGAGGAGACATTGAAGGCCAAGCTGCCTTGCGTGCGTGAAAAGGTTGTAGAGCTCAATGAAGAGGTCAATCTCTTAATGATGGTCATTGCTAACGGATATGTCATGGCACAACATAGTATGCATATGGAGTTTTGAGGCCTACAAAAGAGTTCGGTGCGTTCAAGGTTGATGCTTTGCAGCCCGAGGAGCAAGCGGCATCCGAAGGCGATGCTGTTAGGTTGGAAGAGTTTGGTGCATACAACCAAGACAGCGAGTGCAACAATGTATCGTCGAAAGAGTTTGGTGCGTTCGACAAAGGCAGCAAGGGCAATGATGTTGCATCGGAAGAGTTCGGTGCATCCGACTACAACAATGAAGGAAGCTACAAGCAATACTCCCATATGGACGAGAGTACGCCTGGCGTTGGAAGTAAGCAAAGATAGTTTGTTGCTTCACTATGTTTCCTTTGTGATTGACTACATCATGTACGAGATTGTACGAGGCGGAGGGAGTTATCCTCCACGCTCGTAGCCGATTGTTCGACAAGTGAAGAGGAGGAGGCTCCAAGAGTGGAGTACCAACCTTGTAATGTGGTAAACCAAGAGAAGTTGGACACCACGAATGGGATGGAAGACCCTCCTAATGTAAATGCAGGTCGATGAAAGCCTTGGTATGGGACAAGGTTCACGATGATCTTCTTGCCACGAATGCAGCGTTGGGGCTTGGCATTACACACTAGAAGAAGTGAAAGAAGCGGTGTGTGTTGCCACAAATAGGAGAGGCACCCAATGCTTTAAAGGCTAGCACGTTAAAGCAAGCCACGATAGCGAAGGCGAGACCCAAGATGCGACACACGAGGCGCTCATTGTCTCAGGGAAAGAGAGTGAGGGCAAGGCAAGCGCGACATCTTGGATGAGTAGAACTTGTGCAAGGGCCAAGGTCACTATTGGCTCGCCATCAAGCGCGTGACAACCATGATAACAATGATGCTAGTGCAAGAAGGCACCATGACGAAGATGTCATGAATTAGGTGGGGGAGAATGACACACACAAAGTGCAAAGACTAGTGAGGCTCAACCCTCAAGTATCTTTAAGATGGTGGAACATTCTAGAAGACCCAGAAGCAAGTGGATAAAGGTAGAACCTTGTAGTGTATGTAGATATTTCTCTACTGAATTTTAGATAGGAGATATTTATGTAGAAAATTCTATATGATAGATACTAGCCGTAGGATTAGATTAATCTTAACCGCCCATTTTGGAGGTGAGACATATTAGGAGCACATCCCCTCATTTGTAGACATCCAAAAATATTGAGAGCAACACATATTTAGAGAGGAGAGAGAGTGAGAGGGAGTTCCTCCAATCTTGTGAGTGCGTACGAGTGCCACACGGATCGAGTATAGTCTGTGACAGTACAGTGGGGGTGGTTTGTCCGTTTTTCATTTTCTAGGGGTGAAATTGAATAAAAAACATGCCTGAACCTAGTAACTATTCTAATATATCTGGCCATATAGGACCAAACTACAAATCTGGTTCGGGTCGGTCCTCTTTCTCGTCAACCCTATTCAACCTACTTGGGTCGGGCTGGGTCAAGTATGTTGGTTGGCCCAAATCAACAAACAGATATTTTTAAAAATTATATTTTTCTTAAAATTTAGTATCTAAACTTAATTTTTTACAAATAGATCCAAAATATTTTTACTTTTATATTTTTTAGATTGCATTACAATAGCTAAACTCTTAGAACTTTCAATATGTCCAACCTTTTGGTATGAGAAATTTTAAATTACTAGTTGTTGCTATGGTTCATAGGACCAAAAGTGACCTGCCCTAAGTTAACTTGATCCTACCCGACATTTACAAAGCCAAAAAATGACCCGACCCTAGGCTAGTTCCTATAGACAAACTGACACAACACGACCCTCGGGATCGTGCTGGATCAGGCCGTGTCAGTAAGTATTTAGGACCAAAGTTACACCCTTAATAATCTCTGACTAATATGTATCTTATTTCTTCTAAATCAATATAAGGACGAGTTTCACACATCCAAACGACTCTATAATTAGTAAAACACGGTACATGAAAGTTATGTATAAAATATATACGGGTATGTTACGTCGTCTTTAAGTTTACGTTTAATAGTACGTTAATAGTCATCAATACATATAATTTAATTATATTAAAAATAAATAAATATATAAATAATAGTAAACTTAACAATTTAATTCATTAAATACTAATTTATACGTGTTCTACGGATTTTATACGTGTTTAGTACGGGAGCCATCGAATGAACGAAAAAACAAGAAATGCCTTGACAATAATACGGATATGGAAGTTTTAAACGAATAAAATACGTATGGGTATATATACGTGTATTAAACGGAGTATTTACTAACTATGAACGACTCCCAAATACGAAATGGATACGAGTATCAAACAAAGTTATATGTATCCTCCCGACGATGGCAGTTCCTATGAGGTGGTGCTAGGTTTGACTTGGGGCCATTAAATTGTAAGTTGTCACTTGTGAGTGGGTTTAAAATTTCAATCTAACTTGTTTGAACTGATCTGGTTTACGGGTTTCCTGCCTGCTAGTTGCCCATGACTGACATCTATAGCTGATCTAATCAAATGCGATTGCACCTGTAAGCAAATAACAGAGATTATAGTGCTGTTGGAGTAGGCACGCAGCAGCCATAATCTGCATGTCTTGTTGCTTTCTTTTTAATTAAGAAAGAGGAGATAAGCATAAGAAAAAAATCCAAAGCATGCGTCTTAGCTTTTCCCGATACTTTATGCCTTCTTGTAGCGCAGCAGCCGTCGGCTCTATGAGGCAGTTGAGAGGTTGTACAATTCCATTTGATTATTATTCCACTAGTTAATTAGTACTACAAACAACTAATCACAATTATTGTTGTTTCTGTTTCTGGGCCCATCAAAGTGAAAGTTCGACAATTACACGGAGGTAGGTAGGTAGATTAGATGGTGATTATGATGGCGAAAGATTTATTGTCTGCATTACTAGAATACGTCACTTCCCACGATTTAAGAGACGAATAAAAACATTTCTTAGATACATTCGACACATGCATTTCCCATCTCTTGTTGTGGTCGTGAAACATGTTAGAACAACACAATAATTCATCCGCATGTCCAAAAGGAATTGGATTTGAAAAACTGAACTACCGACACTCTCATTTCTCTTCTATGAAAAATCGGTAAAGGGTGATATATGTTTCATTTTTTGTGATTAACGTACTACTTAACGAATTCGAACTTGGTACCTCCAAGTTCTAGGCTAGTGGTATTATCACTAGGCCAAGTCCTTGTTCGTCAAAATTGACATAAATATTATTCTTCCTTCATTCGACTATAGTGGGACACTATTTTTAGCAACTGGGAGGTAGATGACAATTATGAATACTCTGACTTGGGACGAATCTGGGTTTTCTGGCGGAAGGATGTACATTTTGTAGTTGAAGAGAGGTCTGATCAGTTCATTCATGGCATGGTTAAGGGTGAAGTCAACACTAAAATCACCTTTGTGTATGGGTCTAATGATGAGGGGAACGTAAGGCCATGTATCAGCATCTTGTTCTGAAGGCAGGGGTGGATCCTTGGATAGTACTTGGTGATTTCAATGCCATCCGTAATTGTGCAGAGGCTTCAAACAACCCAAAAATCTCACAGAGCATGATGTCTTTCAACACTTGGATAGAGGACATGGAACTAATGGATAGCCAATTTGAGGGACCTTGGATTTCCTGGACTAACAAACAACAAGGCAATCCAATTGCAAGGAGAATTGATCGAGTGCTTATTAATTCTAGTTGGCAGTCAGCTTATCCTCATTTCACAGTGAAGATGTTGTTGCCAATCCTCACTGATCACTGTGGGATGCTGGTCCATTTTGAAGTAGCAGTACCTTCTCTTCCCAAGCCTTTTAAATATTTCAATTGTTGGGAGTTGCATCCTAAGTATCATGACATAGTCAAAGAGGCCTGGAAGAGAGTATACAAGGGTACAACAATGTTCATTTTGTACCAGAAGCTAAAGGCGGACAAGAGGGGGCTTAAAGCATTAAATAATGAATCATATTCTGGGATTTCGGTTCGGGTGAAGGCTGTAAAGGAAAGATTGGCAATTTTGCAGTTGGAATCT